ATGCAGACCCTATATCTGCTTGCTCCCTCCCCTGCATGCCATTCATGCCAAATCCCTGCTTAAAAGCCTCTGCTTTCTGCCCCAAAACTGAAGCGATGTCCTTAGAGGCAGGAGCCTGTACTTCCCCTAAGCTATGCTTTGGAATAAAGTCACTTTCTTTATAACAGACTCAATCTTGTTAATTGGATTCTGCAGGTGGTGAGTGACTGAACCTGTGTCTTGGTTACATGTGGAGCTTTAGAGAAACAGAAAAACCTATAGCCAATGGATGGATTCCACTCAGGAAAGCCACATGATCATATTTGCATTTTAGAAACCACCTCCTGGCTGCAGTGTGGGGAATAGTAAAAGGAGGTGGGACGGGAGGTGTGATGATTAATTTTATGTGCCTACTTAACGGGTAAGGGATTGCCCAGATGGCTGGTAAAACATGGTTTCTGGGTGTGCTCTCACCTATGTGGGCAGACAGCACCCCATCCATTGAAGGCCTAAATAGAACAAAATGGTGGAGAAAAGAGGGCTTTCATCTGTCTTCTTAAGCTGACACATTATCTTCTCCTGCTCTTAGACATCAGCACTCCTGGTTCTCAGACATTTGGATTCAGACTGGGACTTACAACACTGGCTCTCCTGGCTCTCAAGTCTTTGGGCTTAAACTGGAACCCTACCACTGGCTTTCCTGGACCTTGATATTATAGACAACAGATTATGGAACCTCTCAACCTCCATAATTACATGAGCCAGTTCTTCATAGTAAGTATTTTTCTATCTATATGTATCCTATTGATTCTGTTTCTCTGGAGGACGATGACTAATACAGAAAATACAGGAAGCACTTTTACGATAGATCTCACAGCGTCAAGATGAAAGCTTGCCAAGGTGAGAGCTGTGGCAGTGTGGACAGAGAGGATAGGATACGTTGAAAGACACTTAGGAGCCAGAAATGGCTGTACTTAGTGACCAATGAGTTAGATAAAAGAAGGGAGGAGAGAGACATCAAAAGAATGACCCTTAAATGTCTGGATGGAGCAGCCAGGTGGATAATGAGTTGAGAACACAGAGGATCGGATTCCGTGAGTGGAGAGGGTTAGGGAGAGCTGATGGGTTTCATTTTGTATACACATAGCTTGAAGTGCCCATGGAGATATCTAATAGGCAACTGGATGTGAGTGTAAAGTTCCAGAAAGATTTCAAAGCTAAGAGTTATAGAAAGGGGAAATATCAGCACTTAGCTAGTGGTTGAAGCCATGATGGTTGATAGCTCACATGGAGAAAGCAAACTGAGTGAAAAGACCAAGACCTGAGAAACATATGATGTGAGTATAGAAAGAGGGGTCAGAAAAGGAGCCCGAGAAGGTATCAAAGAGAGCAAGAACAATTAGGAGGAAGTGTGTGCTGGATATTGTTTGCCCTCCGAATCCACTTTCTATCCTTCATCCTGCTCTGTGGCCTGGAAGGCTGATTGCTGTGGATCACATCAACTGCCTCTCTTGTCCTCTGGCTTCCAGAGTTCAGCCTCTGGGAGGCACTGCCAGGTGATTGGAGGGTGAGAAGAGAGAGGCTGGGGAGATCATCCCCTGGCTTCCTTCTGTTGTAAATGGACTGTTAGTGGCTATAGTCCACCAAAGACCACGGCTCCTGCTGGGCAACCTCATAGCTGCAACCTGCCTTGTCTCTACAGGTCTAAGGGTGTCAAGGCTTTCCCCTGTTGCTAGCCTATAGGTTCTTCACTTTCCCTCACTAATTTCCTTTAATCCCAGATCTTTGCAAACGATTCCTTCCTTAAACTCTCTTCAGTCATCCCTGTGTCTTGCCATCTGTGTACTCCTGGTATCTCATCTTTGCAGAGGTGTATCACAAAAGTCACTGAAAATGAGTTTCAAGGTGGAAGTGGTCAAAGATAGGAGCCTGTACTTCTTCCTTCAGCTAAGCTTTGCGGAATGCTGCAGAGGTTTTCCTTGGTGAAGACTGAAGTCTATTGTACTTGGCAACTGGAGGTTGTTGGTGACCTCTACCGACACAGGTTAAAAGAAAGGTCAGCTGAAGCCAGATTGCAGTGTTCCGAAGAGGCCATGGCGACCCACTGACCATCACTTTAAGGCACCTAGCTATGAGGGAAGAAGGTGGAATTTTGAGGGAGCTGCAGGGTGGCATTTTCTTTAATTTTAGTATTGAAGAGACTTGAGCAGACTTATATCCTGTGGGAAGAACCTATTAGATAGGGGGAGGTTGGAAGAGCAAGAGAAACATGAATGGACCCATGGCCTTGGGTCATAGGAGGACAGGAATGAGGGTAGATGTGCACATAAGAATGTTTACAGCTAAGGAGTAGGCGAATGAGGAGCTTCTTCCTAAATATTCTCGTGAAAGTTCAAGGACAGTGAAAGTTCAAAATCACAATTATAGCAATTGGGGAGAAATTGATGAGGGCCTGGAAAAGGCCTAAAGGCTTTGCTGAAATAAATAAATGATTGATGTTACATGACATAAACCAGAATGTAGAATGTGCAGTCGAGTGATAATGTGATGAGATGAAATTGGAAACGCAGTGTGGGTCTAGATTATGGAATTTGGTTTTTATACAGACTGTAGGAGCCATCAAAAGTTTTTGAGCAGGAGCAGGATGGGTTGGATATAAGGTTATTTAGGGGTGAATGAGGGGCAAGGAGAAGTATTAAAGGTCACAATAATCTAGGCAATAGACAAGGGAGGTGCTTTATTTGGGGATTGAGAACAGATGTAATAAAGTTAAGAGTTATTGAGGAGTTAGACCCTGTTGGATTAGTGATGATGCCAACAGGTGGACTAGGGGGATCTTAAGGTCCTTCCACAGAACTCCAGCACCTTCCACCTTAGTCTACCCTAAATAAACATACCTGTAAGTAAAAACAGTATGCTTTCTATGCAAACACTGGTTTAACACAAATGAGCTAGCCTCCTCTCCATATTGCCAGGCCTAAATGTCCCCCTGCATAAACATTCAGGATCTTCCACTGCCCAGAGCTTAGAGGCAGCTCAGATATAGGAAATGAAAAGAAGGAGACAGATTAAGTCAGAAATTTTAACTGGGTTTACTGGGTGGATTTTGTGACACTGTTGACCAAGTAAGGAAATATAAGAGATTATATTTGTGAAAGAAAATGATGAATTTGGCCAGGCACAGTGACTCAAACCTGTAATCCCTGCACTTTGAGGGGCTAAAGTGGGAAGACTTCAGCCTGTCAAAGTGCAGGGATTATAGGCATGAGCCCAAGAGTTCAAGACCAGTCTGGGCAATATAGGGAGACCCCGAGTCTATTACTATTTTGTTAAAAGAAAACGGTGAATATTAGGTGCTAAGATGACCTATATGGGTTTGGGCAACTAGGGCTGAGAATGCAAGTCTGGAGTTTGGGATGGAGGTAGTGCTTGCCATGCAGGTCTGGAGTGTCTGCGTAGAGCTGGTTGTTGCAGCAGTGGGGTCCAAAGAGGGTGGGAAAGGAATCATAAAGAAAGACTAAGAAGAAACAAAAACCCTTGAAGAGTGCTGTCTTTAAGAGGGCAAGCAGGGGGGAGGGGGATGGCATCAGGAAGGATGATGAGAAAATGTTAAGAAGCAGGAGGAAGAACAGAAAGACACAGCTCATGATGCCCAGAGTGGGGTGAGTCACACCAAGGAAGGGCTAGGCAAGGATATGCCAGAGAACTTTTTTCATTTTTACAGAAATCATCAATTCTTTTCTTGAAAATGGATTTTTAATTTATACTTTGTTCTAAAAAGTGGCCCCTCTTCTCTGTTAACATAACTTCTTTAAAAACATTTATAATTACTCAGAATTTTTCCAGTTTTGCGGTTTCACGATCAGCCTCCAAAAAGTTGTGCTAGCGTGCATTCAGAATTCATTAAAATCTGTCCAGCATTTCCACTGAAGTGCTTCAATATGCATGAAAAAATGTCACTTGAATTCCCTCTGATGATCAAGTCGAACATCCTTGTCTTTGTCATCCTAAAGCTGTTCTTTACAGAAAGCCAACTCCTGTCAGATTGCTCCAGGTTTGTATTTGAGAGGGAAAGTGAAAATCATCTTTGTCTAACCGCAACAGATTCGCCTCTGAATATTTACCCCAACCGATCGATGACATGCTCCTGTGTTCTTGGTGAACTGGTTTTGTCTGGAAGCTCTTGTAATAATGGTGCATGGTCCTTGGAATGATCTCAAAACATTCCCCTTTCTCTTTCACACTGAAGAGCAGGTTCATCCCCACAGGATGGTAACAAGTGTGTTTGGCTTCTAACCCTTCTAGAATCATCGTCCTCAAGTGCACACACAAATCCCCCATTTGCATCAGTGCCTACCTGGTTGGAATTCATGTTGTCTCCTTCAAGATCTTGTTGTGAAGGTCTTAGTTTTCCCCTGCAGTGATCTTTAAAGGAATTAAATCTTTAAAGGAATAGTTTAGAGCGTGTCTATGTCCTGAATGAAAGGTTCTTATTTACAAATGTCCGAGTCTTTTTCATGGCAGGCAGCCTTATTAGGATCTGAGGGAACTTCAGCAGAACATGGTGGTGTTTGTGATGAAACGTCCATATTTGAACATTCTAAGTCTCTAAGTGAGCAATGCCACTCTGCTGCCTTGGATTGAAGAGCTGTGTCATAATCATAGGTGGACATGCCCGGAATCTCATCCCCTAAGGGACTATTCCCCGGTGATCTGGGCCAGGGTGATGGGCCCTCAGATCTATCAATGTCAGAGGCATTTTCCAGGTGAGTCTTGTACAAGCCAGAGTCTGGGGAGGAAAGGAGACGTTTTTCAAATGGATAGTCCTGATTCTCGAATTTCCCTGGAATTTTTTGGAAGGTGACATTGTCCTCAAGACTGTCTACTGCCATCACGTTGTCCTTGCTAGCCCCTGAGCTCTCGTTGTACAGAGCCTCTTCGTCGTGCAGGAGCTCCTCGTCCTGTAGGGGCTCCTCATCCTGCAAGAGCTCCTCATCCTGCAAGGGCTCCTCATCCTGCAGGGGGTCCTTGTCCTGCAAGAGCTCCTTGTCCTGTGGGGGCTCCTGGTCCTGCAAGAGCTCCTCGTCCTGCAAGGGCTCCTTGTCCTATAGGGGCTCTTCGTCCTGCAGGAACTCCTCATCCTGTACGGGCTCTTCGTCCTGCAAGAACTCCTCGTCCTGTAGGGGCTCTTCGTCATGCAGAAACTCCTCGTCCTTCAGGGACTCCTCGTCCTGTAGGGGCTCCTCATCTTGAAAGAACTCCTCATCCTGCAAGGGCTCCTCATCCTGCAGGGGGTCTTCGTCCTGCAAGAGCTCCTTTTCCTGTAGGGGCTCCTGGTCCTGCAAGAGCTCCTGGTCCTGCAAGGGCTCCTTGTTGTGCAGGGGCTCCTCATCCTTCAAGGTCTCCTTGTCCTGTAGGGGCTCTTCGTCCTGCAGGAACTTCTCGTCCTGTAGGGGCTCTTCGTCCTGCAAGGTCTCCTCATCCTGCAAGGGCTCCTTGTCCTGCAAGGGCTCCTTGTCCTGCAAGAGCTCCTCATCCTTCAAGGGCTCCTTGTCCTGTAGGGGCTCCTCATCCTGCCTGGGCTCCTTGTCAGGTGATACCTCTTCAGTCTCGCTCCTTGCACCCTCTGAACTTACGGAGCTTAGAGTGAACAAAGACCCCTCATCAGAGTCACAGTCACTCTCCACCACACACCAAGTGCCAGAAGGAGTGGATTTCTGCTCTGGTTCCTCATTAGCAGGAGTGATAACTGGGCCACCATCCCATCTTAGAGGAAAGACTGATGGGCCTGTGTCTCCTGGGTCACTGCATGGGACCTCGCTGCAGTGGGCCGAAAGCTCTTCCTCAGCACTTGCCCCCGACAGCCTTGGCTGTTGTATGCTCAGCAAATCAGTGGATGGTCTCACTTGCTTTTCCTTAGAAAATTCCATCTGTGAGTCCCAGAGTGACCGTTCAGTGCCCCCTCTTTCCTTACTCTCTCCAATCCTCTGTGCTTCTGCATGCCTTAGCATTTTACAGAGGGAAGTTATCATTTCTCCAGAGAGGGATGGCTCTAATTCACTGGAATCATGATGGTTTGAGCTGGAGACGGCATGTGACATGCCCACTACAGAAGAGACGCCCACTACAGAAGAGACACCCACTGAGTGTGCACTGAGAGGCTCTCCCTGGGCCACAGTTTCATACGTGCATTCTTCAAGAACATCACTCCTATGGATGTGGTCCTGCGCTGCTGACATTAGTTCATGGTTTCTGGCCTGTGGATGTCCCTGGAGAATGGAATAGGCTGGACCGTCATTTCCACTTCCCGCCCCGGTGTTGTCCCTGCACTGTCCTGAGCTCTGCGGACTGCCAGGATCCTTGCTGCTCCTTCTCGGCGTTCTATCAGGAATTACGGTGGCGTGTGGCTGTGGCTGTGGCTGTGGCTGTGTCTCCCAGAAAGGGGTCTGGTTCTCATAGAGGCTTAGATCAGGAAATGCTTGGTGCAGATGGGTCTCTGGGTGTGGTGTGCGTCCCACAGCTTCGACGTCGTCGTAGAAGCCCTCGTTTGAATACCCGTTGTTCTGGCCAGGGTTTTTGTTCTGGCACTTTCGTTGCCACAGTCTGTCAATATAAGGCCTCGTGAAAGCCCCCAGACAGAAGGCGACAAGGAATGTGATGAACACTGACAGGCACACTGCCAGAGCCAGGTCCTGGGGAGCGTCCTCCTTTCTGCCGGCAGCCTGCACATCCCGGGCACTTCTAACACTTCTTGGCAGCCGTCTCTGCTTCTCCCTGAGACCAGAGCTGGCCCTTGCCTTCTTTCCCAGAGTGGAGACGCCTGTGTGCCTTCCTCCCCGGGGCCTCTCTGCTTTGCTCCTTATGAGGCTTTTCACGCTATGCAGATGAATGGAAGGAAGGTGGGTTTCCCTGGAAATTCTGCTCTGGGGGGTCCCCCCATTGGCCTCCTCACTCCCTGCAAGTGGATAAAAAAATACACATTGAGCAAACATTGAAATAAGATTCCAGGGGTTTTTCCTTTATTCAGGATTGGGGCCTCTCTCTGTCACCCAGGTTGGAGTGCAGTGGCACAATCATAAGTCACTGAAGCCCCAGACTCCTAGCTCAAGCGATCTTCCCACCTCAGCCTCCAGAGTTGCTGGGATGACAGGCATGAGCCACCACACCCGGGCTGCTTTATTTTTATTTTTTTTTCCACTTTATAGAGACAAGCGTTGTCACTATGTTGCCCAGGCTAGTCTCAAACTCTTGGCCTCAGGAGATTCTCCTCCCTCAGCTTCCTGAACTGCTGGACTGTAGGTGTGAGCCACTGCCCCCATCTCCAGATTCTAGGGGTTTCAGAAGCTTCTGTGAGTCCTACTCAGTCCTTATCCAGTTATATATGTTAAAGTAAACATTATGTGATAATAAGCAGTTTAAAAATTTTATTCATTCATGTTTAATGCCAACAGTATGTCTATGGCTGTATGCATTTACACATGGCTATCAGGCTGAGGTCTGTTGCTCAGAGGTCCAGGAGGTTGCATGTTCCTTAGGGTTCCTGCCTCACTGCTGCCTGTAGGAGGAAGAAGCTAGAATAGAGGAACAGCCATGTGAACATGGCTTCTCCTTCCTCCATAGTCTTACCTACTCCATGTTTGCCAGAACATTCTACTAGCCTGCTGCAACACCTGTCTTGGCCCTACCCAGGTTTGCAATTTTATTTCCTCACCATTGTCCAGTGCTGGTAAACAGCAGAAATATTCAGTTTTTTTCTCCTGGTTTCTGACATTCTGCTCTCTACCCTCAGAATGCCAGTTGTGGAGTGAAACAAATGTAGCTGATGACATTAAGACTTATCTCTGATCTTCGTGGATTTCCTCTAAACCTGGTAGGCATGGCCATGTTCCTACTTGAAAGGCAGTCCTGAATAGAACAGAATCTAGCACTCAAATTTTTAATGGACTTTTTTTTTTTTTTTTCCTAGTTATAAGGTTGAGATTTAGCCAAGGTAGTTAATAGTGAAAAAAACTTCCCAGAATATCCAACCCCAGTAACATATTCCAGCACTTTGGGAGAGGGGTAAGGAACAAATCAAAGGAAAATATGCTTTTGTAATATGTGTGTGTGCGTTTTGTGTATGTAGAGGATCACACTTTCAGAGTGTTAGCAAACATTTAAAATAATGATATTTCTGATTTTAAAAGTTCTTTAACAGATTATTTGTTAAGAATTGGGATAAAACGGTGACATTAAATTTTATTCATGTGTTCATTCTTGTTTAATGCCTACAGCATGTCTATGGTTCTTGAGAATAAAGTTTGGTGTGTCAGAACAAAACTCTCTTCTAGTGGAATTCCTCCTCTTGACCAAATCCAACTGATACTGAGTGAGTTGAACTGTGTTTCTTTGACTGCATGAAGAAAATAATTGATGAACTGAGGGAAACAGCGATTCTTCTGTGGCACAGCCCAAGACTGACTAATGCCAGAGATCAGCATTTTTGCTGTCAGGGGACTGTCATTACTTCAAATGAGACTAAAATTTGTACGTGCATTTTTCAGTATAAATGGAGATTTTTCAGAGAAACCTTACTGACTTACCTATAGACCTGTTGCAAATGACATTCCACTTTTTCCTCCAGGATTCAGAAATAAAATTTTGAAAGACTGCCACGCTATCGTCACACCGCCAGTGATTATCAGCCAAGTCAGCCACCAGATGGGGGAGTTCTAGAGCCATGATCATCATTGGTAGGATGGTGGTCAGAGCATTGTTGCTGAGGTCCACGACCTGCTTGAGAAGAAATGAGTTTAGGATCGTCTGTGGATAAAGGCATTTAGAGATAAAATAAACGAGTTACAGAAAAATACTATTTATGTCCTATGGAGGCAGTATGAATTTAATACTGGTTTACAAGTCAGGGAATAGTGGGTTTTAAGTCTCTGTTCTACCTCTAAGAACTTTACGAGTCTTGACAAATGGTTTACCTTCTATAAGCCTCCCTCCCAGGGTTGCTGTGAGTATTAAAGGTATGTGAAACTTTAAGTATCATGCCTATATTCAATGCCTAATCATTTTCTCTTCCTTCTTTCCTGAGTGTAATTTGTACTGTTAAAGAAAACCTAGACACTCATGTTTTCAAGATCTAGAATTGGATGCCAGATCAAGCATTTCTAGAAGTACTACAGTCTTGAAAGTGGCAGAAAATACTGGATGATGAGGACACAGAACACAGAATTGTGATTGACCAGAAATCCTATTTGTGTATTTCTGGTGGAGATGAAATCTCACTATGTTGCTCAGTTGGTCTCAAATTCCTGGGCTCAAGTAATCCCCATGCCTTGGCCTCCCAAAATGCCGGAATGACAGGCATGCGCCTGACTTCAAAGAGAGATCTTTTGCCTCAAATATTATCTCAAGGGTAGCAGTACATTTCTCTGCATCCAGGGCTTTCAGTACATACAGTATGACAAATTTTTCTAGTCTGAACAGAAATGAAGGGGAAAGGGGAACAAGAAGGATTCAGTGTCTCTAGAAACAGAGAGCAGGATCTGTAGATGTCGGACACGGCAGGAGCATGACATAGCAGGGAAAGCACAGTTAGGAGGAGCTCTAGCTGCCATTTGCAGAGCCCTGCTGGGTCCCAGACATGCTACTGGGTGCTTTATGTACATGATCTCTGACCTTAACAATTTCCTCATTTTTACCTTTACTACAGAGGAAGAAACTGGGTTATGCCACACGGTACATCTCACATAGACCCTAGCACCTGGTATACAGCAGGTGCTCTGCAAACAACAGGAAGGAAGGAATGCAATGGTAGAGCTGAGGTCTCATCTGGCTTCACAGCTGTGTGCCTTCCACTGCAGAACATACCCTCCTGGAGCCTGAGCCCTGCTGCACTAGAGTGAAGGAAGGGCTGGGTTGAAGAAACCGAGGGCTGAGGCACCAAGATGGCTCATGAGGTTTGGGGAGGGGCAGGTAGTTATTAAAAGAAGAGAACATTATAAAAAAGGAAAACACAGTCCTTGCTTTTAAAAAAGAGGACAATGAATGAAAGCCAGAAAGGCTGAATGTTATCAAGGCCAATTGCTTTATAGACACCCAGGGGAAAAAATCAGCATTTCATCTTGGGTTATATAAATTCCTAAAGGGCTTATTCGAGGAAAAAAATCAAACAGTGCCACAAACATGACCATCACATATAGAATCAGAATTTCTTGTGAACTTGGGTAGTAAGGGTGAAATTTCCACTGTTGAATAGCCAAGCAGCATGGACTTTCAAAGGAAGGTTGCCAAAAATTGGAGGCAGGAGACTGTGGGATTGGAAAGAAAAAAATACTTAGCTTGGCCTGGTCTTGGTGAGGATCAGTAGTTTTCTTATGTATCCCTTGGCAACAGATTGAAACATTCTGATGTTTTTCAGGTAATTATTTGCTTTTTAGTGCATGTCTGCATTTATGTTTTGTCCTAGCACCTTATTATATTACAAATCATGGAACCAAAAGCAAAACTGGAGGGAACACAGAAAATTAATAAAATGATTCAGGAGGAAAAATTTCTGCGAGAGGAGCAAAACAGAATGGTCCAATTTGGCTAAAGAAATACCCATCAACCAGCATTTGAAAGGAGTATATACTATGGAAAGATTGGGAGAAGCACATATAATGTCACTTCACAAATCACTGCATTTAAGAAGAATGGGATAAGATTAGGAAAAGAAATGCTAATTTGAAATGTCAGTGAAACTTATTTCATGCCATCAAAACATGGTGATGAATTTATGCTTTGAAAAATCTATCTGGCTTCTAAAAAGATTTCCACACGGGAAAACACATAGAATAGTGCAAGTATTAAATTCTTCGCCCAGAAGAAAAACAATATCCATTTTGATATTTAGCTTTTTGGTACCAAATATGTTCATCATCTTCCAAAACCAGTTTTTAGAGTTATTGCCAAACATGCAGAAGGGATAATAGAGGAGAAGAAATGGTCTGATTCTGGGGCAGTTCCAGTGCATTGAGAATTACAGCTGTATTTAAAACATTCTCAGGCTTTTTAGTCTGCCTGTGGCATCTATCACCTGTGAGCTGCAGAAAACTAATAGAGCACAATAAAAGTGCACAGGAAACACAACAGATGAAGGGCAAATTACAAATACCAAGTATATAAAATACAAAGTGACATTCCCAGGCAATCTGACTGCCTGTTTGTGGTAAATTAGGGAGCACTACCAAGTTAAGTGGACCTTCTCATCTGTCCTCATGACTACTGTAGCAGGCAGACTCCAGGATGGTCTCCAATGATCCTGCCTCCTTGGCGATCATGCCCTTGAGTACTCTCCTCCTCTTGGATGCAGGCAGGACCTGTGATTTGTTTCTAACCAACAGACTATGAAAAGCAATGGAATGTCACTTCCATGATGACATTATGAAGAATTGTAATGTTCTTGGTAGAAGACACTATCCCTCGCTGACTCTGAAGCAAGCTGCTATGTTGTGAACTGCCCTGTGGAGAGGCCCACATGGCAGAGAACTGAGGGCAGGCTTTGGGCAACAGCCAGCAAGGAACTCAGCCCTTCCTCCAGCAGCCCACAAGGAACTGAATCCTGCTGATGGCCACATGAACTTGGAAGTGAATCCTTTTCTAGCTGGGCTTTTAGGTTAGACTCCAGCCTTGGCCAATATTTTGATTGCAACCTCTTGAGAGACCCTTAAGTGGAGGCCCCAGGTAAGCCTGGATTCCTGTCCCATAGAAATTGTGAGACAATCTATGTGTGTGGTTTTAAGCTGATAAGTTGTCAGTAGTGTATTATATAGCAATAGATAACTAATACACCTACCTATGTCCATCACCCATTTATTCATTCCTTTGTTTATTCAACAAGTATTTTAAAATATGTGTCAGGTAGCGGGCATATGCTAAACACTGGAAAAGAAAGAGCTTTAAAGCTCTTTGTGTCTTTAAAGCTTTCTGTCTAAAAAGGCTTTATGTCTTTAAAGAGCTTATCATAGGGTAGAAGGGTTTGAGGGCACAGGCATTAACAATTAGCCATACCTAAAACCAAGTAATTTCAGCTGGGATAAGCACGATGAGGGGAAATGTGTAGCATGTTATAAGTGTTTATAAAAGGGGAACTAATTTAATCTGGAGGCCCAGGGAAGGCTTCCCTGAGGAAATAATATTTTAGCAAAACTAACAGGTTTAACAGAAGTTGGCTCTTCCAAGCAAAGGACCAGTAAGTGCGGAGGGCTTGAGGTAAAAACAGAGGCAGGGGTGTAGGGAGCCAGGAAAGAGTGGCTTGAAAGGAGGCTGGAGAGACAGACAGGGGTCAGGTCCTTACAGTGAAATCTTAGAAGCGTTTTAACCAAGAAGTGGCGTAATCAGATTTCTATGTTAAAGGAGCAGGGGACAGTGCTGACTTTAAAATTTCTATACACAGACTACATTTAGAAAGTGCTTACTATATTCTAAGCACCGTCCTAAGCACTGTATATGTATTAAAACACTTAATTCTCACAAAACTCTGAAAGGAACTAAAATATCTCCGTTTCTCAGAGGAGAAAACTGAGACACAGAGATTTGATAACTTGTGTTAAGACAGTACGGCTGGAAAGTGGCAGAGGCTAGGTTTAAGGGCAGGCAGCTGGCTTAAGGCCACACTCCCCAACACTGCTTCCCTAGTCTTCCTTCTCAAGGGACTCCAGGAGCCATTCTGATTGGAAGTGGGGAGCTGGAGGCTTATCTTGCAGCTATGCCTTAATAGCACTTTGCAGAACACTGGGAAAATCTCAGTTGTCTATGTTGACATTGCTTAATATGATAGCCACACCAATAGATAACTAATACACCTATCCACGTCCATCATCCACTTATTCATTCTTCTGTTCATTTAACAAGTATTTAAAAATATGTATCGGGTACCGGCACATGCTAAGCACTGGAAAACCAAACGGATATACGTTGTATGTCCTCAAAGAGCTTACACATGGCTGTCGAGCAATTAAAACAGGGGTGGTCCAAATTGGGTTGTGCGGTAAGCATGAAAAAGCCACCAGGTTTTGAAGCCTTACTATGAAAAGGGGATATAAAATATCTCATTAATAATTTCTATATTGATGACATGTAAAAGATAATATTGGGTAAATAATACTTATCACTAAGATGAAATTCACTTGCTTATTTTTACTTTTTCACTCTAGCTACTGGAACATTTAAAATTGCATATGTGGCTCACGTTGTATGTTTCTATTGAATGAGGCTGTCCTATAAAAAGAATGAGAGGTGTGGTGAGGTTATGGAGATGGAGGACTAAAGATTCCTCCAAACCATCTCTTAGTGCCACACTGCAGGCCACTCTGGTGTTGCTAAAGGACCACTGAGAGGAGATTTTACAACATCCTCCCAAAAGGGAAGGGCATGGAGGAAAGTGCTTGGAGGAGAAGAGAAGCTGCCAGACCTAGAACAGGGCTCTGGGAGTTCTTTACCCTTACAGCTGTTGGCACCTTGAAAGATTAACTGCAATGTTCCGGAGACAGGAACTATGGACCCAAAATGTGACATAAATTTCCCCAATATGGGTTGGATGTTTAGAACTGCATGTGGCACATGGTACATGCTATACAAGTGTGGAAATATTAGCATTATCATTTTTATTATTTCATGTCCAATTTTGACATGGAAGCAACCGGGTCACTGGCTTTCAGAGGCCCATCTAGTCCTGGGTCATTGACATTTTAGCATCAGCCTCCTCAGGCGTTCCAGATTGCATAAGACCCCTGTGACCTTTGACCAATCTTGTAGCTTAGGGAGATAGCCTCACTAATAACTAAGTTTCAATTTCTTGCCAACTGCTAAGTGGAAATTTGGAGTTGGATTTAATTTGATTTAGAAAAATAACGAGTCAATTCTTGCTGTTGAGTATTATGTTGGAGGAAAATTCATGTCCCTTATTGTGGCCTTTGATTTCTGAGGCAAGGAAGAGACTTCAGCTCTTTTAAGGGATCTTAAAATAGACTAACAGTTTTTGATTAATAGCCAGTACTACTGGACATGAAGAAACTCTTCAATGGAAATACACTTCTAATATAATTGACCATGTATCTGCATATTCAAGTATTATAAAATGATTTTGGAACCTGCAATTTTTTGAGGTCCTTGAAGGCTTGTGGGTGAATTTTGAATATCTTGTTGCCCTTTAAATAGAGATTCTCCAGTTGCAGGCAATTCTGAAAATCAGACCACCCAATTTGCAATATCCCATTGAATGACAGATCCAAACTCTGCAATGACTTCAATTTCCACAGTCCTGTTAAAATGAAAAAGTAAGTTAAAATATAAACTGGTGACATTTACTGAAGCACTGTTTGTCATGGTAAAAAATTGGAGACAACATTAAGAATTCTCAATTGAGGTACTGTTAGAACGTAGTATAGTATTATTAATACTATGAAATAATATGTGGTCCCAAAGGAGATTGAGACAGATTAACATGTAAACTGACTGAACAGGAAGAAAAAAGTTAAGCTGCAGAATAGTATAGAGTATAAGTCCAATGTCCTTGGGGAAAAACAGCCATATGCAAACATATATATAGATTTTGAGTGGGCAGAGAAAAGACCTGGCAGGAGATGAACTAAATTACTAATAGAAATTACACTTAGGAATATAATGGTTGAGGAAAGTGAAGAGGGATGAGAAAGAAAATGTTGAGGCCAGGCGCAGTGGCTCATGCCTGTAATCCCAGCACTCTGGGAGGCCAAGGGAGGTGGATCACAAAGTCAGGAGCTCAAGACCAGCCTGGCCAAGATGATGAAACCCGTCTCTATTAAAAATACAAAGTTAGCCGGGTGTGGTGGCAGGTGCTTGTAATCCCAGCTACTCGGGAGGCTGAGGCAGAAGACTCACTTGAACCCAGGGGTTGAAGGTTTCAATGAACCAACATCACGCCACTGCACTCCAACCTGGGCAACAGAGTGAGACTCCATCTCAAAAAAATTAATAATAATAAAGAAAATGTTGTTTTGAGCACTTTTGAATTTTTTCTTTGAATGAGCATGTACTACTTTTAAAATAAGAGAATCAATTAAAAATATAACCTTGATTGAAAGACATGATAAATATTTATTTGATTGAACTATATAGTAAAACTAAATTATCTTGCCAAACAATAAAGAAAAATGTTGTTTTGATGCTTTATTTACATGGATGAATTCTTCCAGTTTTAAGATTTTCTTATTCTGTTTTTTTCTGAAACACAATCTTGCTCTGTCACCTAGGTTGGAGTGCAGTGGCACAATCCCCACTCACTGTAACCTCCACCTCCTGGGTTCAAGTGATTCTCCTGCCTCAGCCTTCTGAGTAGTTGGGATTTTAGGCACCTGCCTCCATGCCAGGCTAATTTTTTTTTTTTTTTTGTATTTTTAGTAGAGACGGGGTTTTGCCATGTTGGTCAGGTTGGTCTCGAACTCCTGACCAAAAGTGATCCACCCGCCTTGGCCTCCCAAAGTGCTGGGATTACAGGGATGAGCCACCACACCCAGCTGTTTCATTTTATTTGGTAGCCAAGTCCTTTCTTATAGCTACTTATTGTTGATACTATGACTATTTCCTAGGGATTCTTGTGTTTTCCAAAGGTAGTAAGTTATAGCTAGATTTTGTTTTCCAGCAAAATAATCAGATTGAATTTTGGTCTCTGCCTTTGTATTTCACTTGATTTCAGAGAGTAGCCAGGAGGTCCATTTGGCACTGAAAATAAATAAAGGTTGAGAATGAGGTGCCAGTCGTAGCAGTCTCTCAAATTTCATTTCCCATATGGGTCTCAGAAGGAAGTGCCTGCATTTTTACATTTCCTTCTGCTCTGTTCTTGCACGTAGCCTGTCTTTAATCAACTACTACATAACAAGATCAGGTTGGTTCAATTCCAGGAGGCTTTATTCCTTGCCTACTGTCTGCAAGGTACTTATTGTAAGATTGATTATACGGGGAGATGATAACTTAATTGAAATGGCTGCACCATCAAGGTTGTCATGTGTTCATTTAATTATATACAGGCTAAGCAAGAGATCATGAGGACAACAAATCAATCAAAACCTTATGGGCAAGGTAGTCGGTGCTGAGGATAAGTGTAGATAGCATAGAATCTTTACTCTAAAAAGAGTTTAATCTGGTCCAATGATAAGACATAAACTCAAGGTAAAGTTACTAGTTAAACAGAGTAGTTCATCACATGCACCATCCAACCATAAAATTAACTTTTATTTGTTTGTTTGCCTGTCCATCAGATGATCAAGTCCCTTCAGGGCAGAATTCATGTCTTTGAACTTTTGCAATTCTTGGTGGAATATAGTATACATTCAGTAGGCCAGAGGCCACCGTGTTTGGAATGCATAGGGATTTAAAAATCATTATGCTGACACTAAAAATTCAATAAAAATTTGCATTTCTGGCCGCTCTTAAGAAAACTGGAAGTTCTAATTGACACAAGATGACATTTGGCTGGTGCTGAATGAAGGCTGGCTGGTGCTGAATGAAGGCTGCCTGCTGCTGATGGGGGCATGAGCTTATAGAAGGTTATGATTTCTTTCTACTCATGTCTCTATCAAAAACAGGAAAATAGACTGGGCACAGTGGCCGATGGCTATAATCCCAGCACTTCGGAGGCTGAGGCGGGTGAATCACTTGGGGTTAGGAGTTCAAGATCAGCCAGGGCAACATGGTGAAATCCTGTCTCTACTAAAAACACAAAAATTAGCTGGTGTGGTGGTGTGCACCTGTAATTCCAGCTACTCGGGAGGCTGAGACAGGAGAATTACTTAAACCTGGGAGGCAGAGGTTGCAGTGAGCTGAGATCACAGGAGGCACTGTACTCCAGCTGGGACGACAGAGTGAGACTCTGTCAAAAAAAAA